TAGTAGAAGTTTCTAACTCAACTATTCATACTTAACGTGTTATCTATAAGCATACATAAATTTTTTTGATAGATGAATTAAGAATATATATATATATTATATATATTGTATTGTAATATGTGAACACCTAGTTCTACTCATAGGTTGCTAAACTAAATGTGCTTGTATGATGATTGATACTTGTATACATGTGTTTGCATTGTGTGGGGAATAAGCGTGTGTGGGTGGTGTATACGAGTAATACAAGGGTTTAATTCTTATGTGTGACGGTACAACGTGGTGGAAGTACCTATGTCTCGGGCGTTGCATCGTTTCTTATTGGATCATGTGACAACCAAGTGAGTTGTCATGATTCATCGCTGAAACGGGGATGCGTGCTGCATGTGTGTGAAGTAAGAATGTAATATCATGATGTCGTGGAGACAACATGAAACATTTGAACATGGTGGCGGATCATGCGAGAACCGCAGTCAATAACGTGATTTCGTGGAACTTACAAAGCCAGTGTGATGTCATGGGACAACGTGATGTGGTGAGCTCTCCCGCAACAACACGAAGAACGCAGGGACCGGACAAGGTAACATGGTCTCATGTTAGCACCGTCAGGGTTTATCCTCATTTCTTGTTGATTTATGTTGTTTTACTGAATGTTTTAGGTAAAGCTTTTGTTATGTTGTGTTGTGAATGTAGGATGATGATTTCAGGGCTCATGACACTTCTCTCACTGAACTTTTTTTGAAATGCTCACCGCTCCTCATTTCTTCTTCCTTTAAGGTTCGGTTCATGTTGGTGGGTTTTTGTCAAATACGTCTTGAAATCCTACAAAGACACATTGTTTCGGTCCTGATACCAGTTGTCACATCCCGGCTCTTCCAAATCGGGACTATTTTGTTTATAATTAACTAAGTTCATTTGGAATAAAGTCCATTATCTTTTGTTATTCCTTTCTGGCCTGTGTAGTAAACCCTAGGTTTCCTCCTCTTTTTTTACAAATAGTCGTCTTCCCCTTTTCTTCGCTTCTATTTAGAAACTAGAGCAAAGATTTGCAAAGTTCCAGAGAGATCTGAAAACTCTAGCCGTCAAGATTTTTCCTTTTTCTATTCTCTCTCGTTCTCTATCTGGCAACCTCTTTCTCCTCTCTCACACATGAGTGTATCCTCCCTCTCTTTTTGATGTTCACCATTTTATATACAGGTCAGAGCCAAGAAATCCGAGATCCTATATCAAGCCAATATTTTATGTTGTCTCGATCTGTCTTGACTTCTTTCTAGATCTAGTCACTGGTGAGGTAAGGAACCTAGATTTTGTTTTCAGCACTCGTTCTTTTCTTCTTCTTTTTCTTGGATCTCTCATCCAGGGTCTTTTGGTGGTAGCACCTACCCGTTTCTTTGTAGGTATGGTTCGTGGAAATCCGTAAGCTTCTGACATGTTTCTTCTCTCTTTTGCATTCATATATCTAAGTCCAAGGTGAGAACTGATGTGATTTCTTCTTCGTTCTTTCATTATCACTTCGTAGTAGATGTTTCTAACTAAACTATTCATACATACGTGTTATCTATAAGCATACACGTATTTGTTTGATACATGAACTATATCATATATACATATATATATATATATATTGTATATTGTATTGTAATGTGTGAACACCCAGATCTACTCATAGATTTCTAAACTGAATGTGGTTGTATGATGATTGATACTTGTACAAGTGTTTGTATTGTGCGGGGAATAAGCATGGGTGGGTGGTGTATACTAGTAATAGAATGGCTTAAGGCTTATGTGTGCCGGTGCAACGCTGTGGCAGTCTGTATGTCTCCGGCATTGTATCGTTTCCTGTTGAGTCATGTGGAAATTGCATGATGATTCATCGCCGGAGCGGGCATGCGGGGTGCCTGTGTGTGAAGTAAGAACGTACTGACATGATGTAGCGGAGACAACATGAAACGTTTGAACATGGTGGCGGATCACGCGAGAAACGCAGTCAGTAACGTGATTTCATGAAGGCGTGGAACTTACAGAGCCAGTGTGATATCGTGGAAACAACCTGATGTGGTTACCTCTCCCGCGACAACATGAGGAACACGGGGACCGAACGAGGTGGCGTGATCTCATGTTAGTACTGCTGGGGTTTATCCTCGTTTCTTGTTGATTGTTATTATTTTATTGGATGTTCTTGGTAGAGCTTTTGTTATGTTGAGTGGTGAATGATGGGTGATAATTTCGAGGTCATGGAGGTTCTCTCACTGAGTTTTTATCGAAATTCTCACTCTCGTCCTTCTTTTTTCCTTTCAAGTTCAATTCATGTTAGTAGGTTTTTGTTAAAAACATCCTGGGATACTAAAGGCACATTGTTTCGGTCCTTGTGATTGGAGACAAGTGTCATGATATCGTCGATTATTTCATCTATGCTAGGTCAGAGTGTCACCACTTGCTTAAAACCAAGCACAAAAAAACGTTCCATTATATATCAGGATTATCCAACCAGGTAATTATATAGGAAATATTTCTCATCTAAGTATTGTTTTATTAGATAGAACTAAACCGATTACAAGTTTTGGTTCCAAGTTTTGTTACATTTGTGTGCTTCTCTGTTGTTCTTCATAGTATTGAAAGATCATTTTTGATGCACAATCTTTGGGTTCTATAATATCCAAAAATTATTTAAAATATTAAATTCTTTAGGTCATATTAATATTATTTTTTGTCCACTAAATCTAAACTAATAATTTTGTAGCGCAGTTTAATCAATATTATTTTAAAAAAAAAATTCTATTTTTAAAAAATCATCATCATTAAAGGTATAACAATCTTACTATCAAATATGCATATTCTTTTAAAATGACTTTGCAGATCACATCTGATTTACCTAAGAAAACAAATATATTCTAACCTAACGAACTTAATCCGATTAATCGACTAATATTAATCCTTACAAATCACATCTGTTTTCATTATTTTAACAATAAAATAATATTTATTAAATATTTCAAAAATTCTATTATCTTTTCCATGCAGTAAATCACAAATGAAAAAATATTTTTTTATAAAGATTTCTTATTTAACCTACCCACACAAATCTTTACAACATATATATATATCCCATGTCTGATGCTTGAGATCACATTATTCCGAACCAAAGAAAACCTAAACATGTCTAAAAATTCATATTTGGTGAACTGTTTATTTTTTAGAATAATGCATTTTTTTTATTTTAATAACGTAAATTCAATTATTTTCCAATATTATAACAAACACAATCATTCAAGTATAATTAGAAATACAAGCATGCCATAAGCCAAACACAATCGTAAGTCTTCGTAAGTCTTCTCTTTCAAGAAGACTCTCATGGAATTCTTCTGGTCAAAGAATAAATTAGTTTTGCAATTGATTTTCTATGTGTTTTTAAAGAATACTGTCATGAAAGTTTCCAATTTTCTTTGTTGGCAAAAAAAATTCGAGAAGACTTACCTGGAAGTCTTCTCGGTTAAAAAAGTTAGTTTTGCAGTTGACCAATCTGTGCAGAAATTTGACTTTTTACTGAAGACTTCTAGGTAAGTCTTCTACCGGAAGACTTACCTGGAAGTCTTCTCAACCTTTACATTATGTCTATTGAAGTCAGTATAGGTTACTTTGCAATTGATAATTTAAACTTAAAACATTTAATTTAAATTGGGAGACTTTCAGGTAAGTCTTCCGTGTGAAGACTTTGTTGGAAGTCTTCCAAATAAGTCTTCTGCCGGAAGACTAACCTGGAAGTCTTTCAGATTTATATTCCGTGATTCTGGTCAAACCTAAGGTAATCAAAGAAGACTTGCTTATAGACTTACGTGAAAGTCTTCTCAACAAAAGTCAAATATAGTCAATTGCAAGAGTAACCTATGCAGACTTACATCGATAGCGAGTAGACTTAATGTAAAGGTTGAGAAGACTTTCAGGTAAGTCTTACCTGAAGCTTCCGCAGAAAGTCAAAATTTTGACACAGATTGATCAATTGCAAAACTAACTTGTTTATTCGAGAAGACTTTTAGGTAAGTCTTCTCGGGTATTTTCAAGAATTTTTGTATTACAAAAGTAAGCCAATATTTACAAAGGAAGACTTCCAGAGAAGTCTCCTCTTCTTTCTTTGTTAAATTTGAACTGCAAAAATGACCTAAATGGAAGACTTACCTCGAAGTCTTCCGCCAGAAAACTTACCTGAAAGTCTTCTCCGGGAAGACTTCCAGGTAAGTCTTCTACGAAAATGTATAATTTTCATTTTCTTCGATGTATTTTAGACAATATTTGGGGTTCTGAATGAAATTCATAACTTAATTGGTGATAATTATAATATTATTAACATTCATACTTTTAAATGTTTCTAGCTAATGATAGAAGACTTCCAGGGAAGTATCGGCTTAATTTTGGAGATTCAAGTGTAAATGATCTTAAAGTCTCTATTACATGTTTAGTTTAGACTCCTTGCTACTATTGGAATTTGCCTAGGTTCGACTCTGGGACATTACATCTGGATATCTTCTAGACATATGTGACGTTAGTCCTACAGTAAACATTTCAGTCCATCATTTTTTACTTTCAATTTGTCATTTGGATCTTTTGGTTATGACTTATTTAGTTTTGATATTCTTTAGAGAAAATCATAGGTTTGTTTTTATTGATGTTTGTTTATTTAGTTTTGACTCTTCGAATTTTGTGGTTGATAATATGATAGGAAGACTTCTAGTGAAGAAACCTTTAGTATGCATATCACATGAGCTCATGATAGCTTTGTTTTGCTTAAGTTATGGTGATAGGTTTTTTGCAACAACAAAATATATATTCTTAAGTAGAAAACAAGGAAACAAAAATTGAACTGATGGCATATCATTAAGCAAAACAAGAGGAAGAATTAATGGCATATTCTGCAACTGATCAAAGACATAAAATGCCATGATAAAAGAAAAAGAACTAGTCTAGAGTAAGAAAGAGAAATGTCATAATAAACATAGAAGACAACAGCATCACTGGAAAAAAAAACTACTGAGCCAAGGTGGCTGCTGCAGAGTTAGACGCTCCTGTTTCATGTGCAGACTTGTGCTCCAGCTCTTGAAGGTGTTCCCATGGCTTTGGGGCTGACTTGGCCTTTTAGCACCATGGTAAATCACTTCTCGTTGGAGCTGACTTGGCCTTTTAGCTCCAATGTGCTCAGATGCATCCTCCAGGTTGGTAACTCTTACCTATATATCAAAAAGATTGAATCGATAAGACAATACATTACTTGCAGGGAAGTTAACTGAGTGAACCAAATATGTTAAACCAGAAATGACTAATAGTAAAAGAAACATACCACTCGCTTGAGGATGATATCTGTCTCAATGTCATGGCTCTGGTATACAACCCCAGGACAATAAATCAAGAAAATCCTAAATCTCATCAAAGTGGGTTAGTCCCTAAATGATATATATATATATATATATATCATCAACTTTCTCCTCACAGAAAAAGGAAGGAAAAGTTACAAAGCGACATAGTATAAAACAAAATATCTTACCTTCTCCAGTTGCAATGAACGATAGTGCCGTAGAAACAAAAATTACACTCTGTAGTAAGCCTAAATAATTCATAAAACAAGAAGGATGCAATGTGAACAATAATTAAGTGACTTATCCATATCGTGATTCACAGATGGAGAAAGCTAAGCACTCTATAGTGGTTAAGAAAGAAAACCTGGGAATCCACATACCGTTAACACCTTCCATTGCTGCCTTGACTACAGGTCTTGCAGCTACGTCATAAACGTCCATAGTATTTGCTTGTGGTCCAAATACTTTATCTGACATCCAAAAATTTGGAAAAAATGTTCACTCAATACTAGTAGTTAACCAAACGTGATAATGTCTCAAAACAAATAAATAGAGTTTGAAGACAATACCAAATGTGTAAGTGTACGCAGTGAGAGAATTGTACTCGTGCCTGGCCATGGTATCCCCATCAGGGTACCAAGGAACCTTCATCTCCTCTTTGATACTCTCTATCACTGTAATTTCCCCCAAACACAACAAAAATTAGAAATCAATTTGAAAAATCCCAATTATTTATAATTCAAACTTCAATACATCTGGTCTACGAAGACGAAGCCACGCGCCACCATCTCGTCGTTAGGTCCGACAAATCAAAAGGGAAAACAGATCGCCAGCCTGGAACAAACAAACCCTAAACGCCGACCCTTCTCAGAAGTACCACTTCGAACGGCTTGCCGTCGTTCCATCTTCCGACTTCCTCCGACCTAGCTAAGCTCCGCTGCGGTCAAAGATATGAGTCTCCGCCGTACACCAGAAGCGCCGCGCATCTCACCGGGAAGATAAGGACTCCCCAAGAAGGCAAAGGAAACACAGAGAAGAGGGAGGAGAGAGGCCTCCGACTCCGGGAATGGACACCGGACGTCGGGGGCACCACCAATTTAGGGTTTCTTCTTTCTTCTAGTTGGGAGAGGCGAGAGAGAGAACGCCATGTTTTTTTTTCAGAATTAGTGTTTTTTTAATAGTTTATTTCTATTAGAATATTTTCCTTTTTAGATATTTAATATTAATTTAATAGAATTATTACTATATTTTTATTTAATGTTTAACCCGAAAATCTAAAACTTCACTAAATTTGAACGGGAGATAGTAGACTTTAATGTAAAGTCTTCTATAACAAATGTTCTTTGGAACACTTATAATAAGTCTTCTAAGATTTAAATGTTAGTGGTTAAGGTTTAAATGCTTCTACACCAGGTCTAGGGTTCGAATCCCAGACTATGCAGTTCTTATATCAAGAGGGTTTCAATTCCTGGAGAAGGTAAATGGAAAATTATGCACATTGGAGAAAAAAACTTTCAAGAGTTCTTCAGCATAATGCAAGGCGTATCGTCAGGAATGGATCTCATATGGTGGCTCAAGGTGAAGCAGTCAGACGTGAATTCGAATAAAGCAAGTAGAATTATCGGCTGTAATATCGTCTATGTAATATTTCTCATAGTTTAAAATACATAATTATCCAGTATTAAAAAAAAAAAGTCTTCTAAGATCATTACAAGAAAACGAGTCTATAGCGACCACACAATTCGTCGTTAGTTAGTCGTAATAGGGCTATTACGACTAACTAACGACGAAGTGTGATTGGTCGTTAGACGCTAGTCGTAATACATTAATGGTTGTAAATTGGTCATAAAGTACGATAACAGGAGCTAGTCGTACTGTGGTCGTAACATTACGACCAATTAGTTAGTCGTACAGTAAATGTAACTGATGTGGTCGTAAAGGTGTAGTAAATGCATTAGTACTTAATTAGTCATAAATATTTAGTAGTACATTGGTCGTAAATTATTTGTAGTTCATTGGTCGTAAATCATTTGTAGTTCATTGGTCGTAAATCATTTGTAGTATTATAAATATATAATTAATTAAAATAAATTGGTTTTTTAAATGATTTATTATTTAAATTTGATATAGAATAGAAAATATAAAACAAACCTTCATAATATCAATAATATATAACCGAAAACATATAATATCCATAATATATCCACATATTATCCTAATTAAATAAAACTAAAAAAACTATGCATTAAGATTGATGTCGTCGAAGAGACCGGACTGGTCCGCCCGTCGCTCTAACTCCGCCTGCTCTTCCGGAGTAGGCTCAGCATCAGTGGGGTTTAAGGTCGGTCGTAGAGCCTCCCATGCAGAGACAACAGTCGGGGCCGGGTTCGAGTTCTGCATCATCAGATCGAGCAAATTTGCCATAGCCTTAAATTTGTCATTGTGTTCGTGGATGACTTTGTTGGCAGCATCCAAATCAGACCGGAGAGAGGAGTCTTCATCTATTCTTGCAGCATTCAGTTCTTGCTCTCGCAACATCGTTCACGGACCCGATCCCAACTATACGTCCCCTTTTCTTCGGGGCAACCTTCAATTGATCATAAAAATTTTAGTTAATTAATACATATGTAAAAATTAAATAAAATTTTTTAAAATGTATATAAACAAAATAACGTATATTTTACCTGCTCAAAAATTTTGTCCTTCTCGATGGTGGAAAGCTGGACCGGTGCACCACCCGGATTTTGTTGCGACAGCTGAGTCTGAACCTCCTCGATCCTAGCCTCTACGTCGTTGTAGATCTTCTCTGCTCGAGGATGCGAGAAAGTGCCGTCGGAATGTTGGTGTGTGATCTTGTAAAGGCGGGCGAGAGATGGTGGTGCTCCTTCTTTGATAGCTTATATATATATTAAAAAAAAATTAATGAAATTAATTTGTATGTTAAATAAGTTAATAAGAACTAAAAATATCAAATACTTACAATTCGTAGTGCCCTCTTAGCATGTGGAGTCTGCCCAGAAGTATGAGGCACCGGTGGGTTACCCTCAGCATCAGGGGTCATCCGGACGGCAGAGTACTTGGCAGATTTATCTTGTGATTCAGGCAACATCCAAAAAGCCTCCAAGCCTCTCTAAACGTCACCGCTGAGGTAGCTCTTCTTTGTGTGATCCTGTTTTTGCCTCCAGTTCTCCTTCCAATCGCCAACGATGTTCTTTAGACAAGCAGCCGCCCTTTTGTTGAACCCTGCCTTGACCTTTTCGTTGACACCGATAGACCAATTTCATTTTTTCTACAAAAAAATTATAATTAATCAAATTATTGATCTTTAAATAAAAAAATATAAAATTATATTTAAAACTTACCGCAAAGAACTTGAACCAAGTAACACGAACGTGATCTGGTGTAAGAGTCCATTTCGGATGCGCATACCGAAAATTAGACCTGATGATCTCTCCAACGCTACCTCCCAAATCATTGTCGTATCAAACCTATAAAATTTTTTAAAAAATATATTAATTAAGTGTTACATATATAAAATTAAAACTAAAATTAATTTAATTAAAATAATTACCAAAACGTGCCAGGTCGTTTATATGGATCGATGATTCGTAAACCTTCTCGTCCCGGCATCTGAAGAATGTCCTCCACCGTATATCTTGCATATGGTGCGTTCGCCGGCACCATCAAATCTGGATGGAGAGCTGCAGTAGCCGTAGGAGCCTGAGGCGGTGGAACATACTGCGGAGGCGGCTGAGACGGCTGAGACGGCTGAGACTGAGGCGGTGGAACATGCTGCAGAGGATCCTCCTGATGATGATAAGGCTGCTGAGGATCATACTGATGTTGGTCGAGGTTGAAAGGGAAGTATACTTCATTAGGATCATAGGGTGGAAAGTATGGAGCATCGGTAGAAGGGTCGTATGCCCGAGGAGGCACAAATGGAACACCATGTGTTTGGCTCTCCGGAACAGTATGCTGGCTGGAAAATGTGCCGGTGCTGGTGCCGGTGCCGGTGCCGGAAGAAGAAGCAGTTTGGTTCGATGACTGACCGAGAAATGTAGATCCGTACGAGTTATTGGAATCAAGGTTCCGAAGTCTCTTTCTACCGCTCATTGCAATATATCGTCAATCTGAATTTTTTTTAGGAAAAAACATAAAATGTTATTAAAAACAAATCAAATTTGAAATTTAAAAATAAAAATGTAATCTAAAAACTAATTCCGACATAATCTATATCAATCCTAAACTAATTTCAAACCTAAACTAATCACCTAACTAACCACCTAAATCTAAAACCAAAAGTAAAACTAAAAAAAAAAACTTACCTAGAGAGGAAGCTGAGTCGTTGTTAGAGAGTAGGGATGATGAGCAACTGAATTGCTTCAACGGTGTCCGGGTATATATAGAAAATCGTGTTTGTCGTACAATGGTCGTAAAATTACGACCAATGTGGGACCATTCGTAGGAAAGTAGTCGTAAATTTACGACCAATGAGGGACAAAAATAAATAACGACCAATTAGGGTCCGCAATTTACGACTAACCAGGGACCAATCTTGGTTACGACCAATTAGGGACGGCTGGTTACGACCAATGAGGGACCAAAAAGGGACAAAACCCTACGTTTACGACCAATTTGGGACAACAATTTACGACAATTTAGAGTCGAATTGTTGTTTGCTTGTAAACTGAATCCCTAAACCCCAAAACCTAAAACCCCAAAACTCAAACATCAAACCTAATCACTTGTGAAACCCTAAACCCCAAAACTCAAACATCAAACCTAATCACTCGGGAACAACATATATAAAACACAAACACGCCAATATCATAACTGTTATACAAAATACTAATGATAAGTTGGAAACAACATAAATATGATACAAACGCCAACCCTAATCACTCGTCATCAGAAACATCATCATCCACTTCATCATTTTCTTCAAATTCATCTTCGTTAGCTTCGTCTGTAATTGCATCGATATCTTCTGAAAGTTCTTCATATCTCGGATTATACTGATCAACAAGTACGATATCATCAACAGCTTGCTCAGGTACTTCTACTGCATTTACGGCATCTTCTTGTAAAGGCGGTTCTTCATCAGTCAATACCCGACCCCAAGGTGTAACCTTTATAGCGGCTAACCAAGAACTTCCAGATTCTCTGATCGTTGGGTACGGAATAAAACAAACTTGGTCTGCTTGAGAAGCCAAGATGTAGGGCTCAAATTTGTTGTACCTCCGTGTAGCATTTACCTGACACCTCTATTGACAGTGGGATCAAACCACTCACATTTGAAGAGAACACATTTCAGCTTCATGCCAGGGAACTCGACTTCGATGATCTCTTGTAAAATTCAATAGAAATCTGTTTTACCTTTCACACATACTCCGTAGTTCATTGTTGCTCGCTGGCTTCCATATTCGTAAGTGTGAAAAGTGTAACCACGTGTGAAATACATAGATTCTTTGGTGACCTTCGCGACTGGACCTTGTATCAATACGTGTAACCACGGAGGATAAAACATGTCATCATAATCAACCTAGATCATTAACATATACATATAAATATATAACTTCATTTAATATATAACTTAATTAAATATATAAGTTAATTAATTACTTATATTGTGATGTATATACCTGCGTTTT